GAAGAGGCATTAGCTCTTTAATCCTAGATACAGAGCTTCAAAACCAGGCACAGCATAGAACCAACTACAAATAATTCCCTAATACTCTTCTAGATTTTTTTATGTTTTGCCTAGTTGTTACAGCTAAATAGCTGCATTGTCCATAGTCTTAAATATATATGCTCTCAGAAGGGCAATACCATTCATGTCTTTATGTAGATTATGCTTTTATAAGACAGCTTTTATTGCCAACTGAAATCAGAATCTCATGACTTAAATTTGGTTACTGCTGCTTCAGAGAATGTCGTTCAAATACTAAACGTATTTTGAGTCCGTAAGCATGGGATAAGCCAGGGAGGAGGATTTGAGGAAGAACTGGGGGAGAAGAATGAACCTGTTATTTGTAGCAGATGATTTCACTGTATTGGGACTCTGATTCAATGGTATTGATGGAACCGAGTCATTCTTTACCACAATAGGAAAACTTTGTACAGTTTTCCTGCTTTACACAAGGATTGTAAGAGGAACCTTGTAACAGCATTATTTGGAGGAAATTCCTGTCCAGTGCATTCACTGGGAGTGATACTGGCTGGTGAGCACTAATTTACGTCATTTTTATGTAGCTATTTCAAATCTGAGGAGCATCCAATGCATTTGGAAATTTGTCATTCTACAGATGTAACTGGCACTGTCAATGTACTCATTCCATGTCTGGCAGATGACTATTTTGCCTGTCACCCTCTCTGTGATCCAGATCTGAATCTCTTCAGAAACCAAAATCAGCCTCCAGTTCCCCTGCTTTCTAATTCTGCATGAGTAAGTCAGTCAGCATGTTGTAAATATGGTTGCTCATTCCAAATATATTGGTTACCTGTGCACCAATCATTGTCAGCATATTTCTGCAGTGGAGTGGTTTAGCATTGGGTAATTGGCATAAATTAAATCACTTGAGTCACCGTATTGCCCTTTCTGCATACACCCACATGCGTCTGTTACGTATGTGCAGCTTTTGGGAGATATGTGAATGATAGCAGCACTGCAAATGCCCTGCCAGCAAGTAAGGAACTTGTATGCACTCACAAAATAGGTATTGATGCAGAATTTATGTCAAAATACAAGGAAGTGAGGAGTGTGCAAAAGTATTTGTTTTGTGTGACTATAGGAATCCACAAGAAACGCTTTTCAACCAGAGGATTACAGTGAGGAAAACAATAAAAACATGTCAGTGGTAGATTTTTGCCTGCTGATGGATATATTTATGACTGAGGCATGTGTCTTGATGTCTGCAAGGCATTTTCCATATTTGTGAATGACAGCCCTGTATTCTGGCTTAGCTTTGCTGTAATGCACGAAGTCAGTCGCTTCACTGTAACTCAACTTTTTCCCATCTGAAGAAGGGGAATCAGTAATCGCTCATTGTTCTCAAAGCACTTCTGTGTTTAAGGACGTATCATAACCTCTGCTGCTGTTCTCACAAATGATCTATAGAATAACAGTAAATTGAGGATTTGTAGAGGTTATATTTGTAGAAATAGATTTCCATGTGCTTACAGTTTTCTGCAATTGACTGTTTAATTTCTGCATCTGGTGTAGTTCAAGCTGCTTAGATGTCTGAGAACTTGATTGTGCTCATGTATCAAGTATTTAGGCATCAAAGTATTGTGCCTTATGCCTTCACAGAGCAGCACCCAGAAAACTGCAAGTGTAGTGAAAGAGGTTGGCTTGAAAATCAGGTCCTTGCAGTTTACGAAAGTGTTGGCTGAAACAGGGAAATGGGCCATGAAGAAAATTCGGTTAGATGAACAATTCCTTTTTGTTCATTTTAAGCTATGTTGCGCTGAATGTGAAGTCCATCTCCTCATTCTGTTGGATTGCCCTTTACTCAGAAGGGCACGTAAATCTCTGGGCAGCTTAATGCCTTTTCAACCTGTGCTGTTGCCTTGTATGGCTCTGAGTCTTTCACCTGGTTGTACTACTTACTGAGCACCCTGATGTTCCTGTGGTTCACAGTAAAGCTCAAGTCTTATCTCTTTTTAACTGTGTGTATCTCAGCTCAGCTTGTAACCTGAGGTTTTACAGAAGTGTTCAGTGTTGGTTTACTCTGCCTTACTCCAGTGAGGGAGAGATTTATGCTTTTTTCCAAGGCAAGTGGTGTGAGATAGGTGCTTAGCACCTTTGAAAAACTTCCCTGATTCAGTAGCTTCTAATCAAGGAGAAAATCTAGAGTTTGGGGGATTGCAGGTTCAACTCTTTCACAGCTTTGAAGATCCTTTAGGATTTCACCAGTCTTAACTTGCCCCTTGGCATGCTGCGGAGGCTGGGGTTGTGCTCAGCAGGCATTGCTTTTTCTGGATCCCAGAGCGGGATTTGTTACACTCACCCACCTCCCCAAACTTTCCTCTGTCAGTGTAGGTTGCTGGCACTTGGGCTTAACAAGAGTGAGCTACATCCTGAGAATAAACTGAGGGTCTTCTGCCTGTATTAGAAATATCTTCTTGAGGGTCACTGGGTAAACATGTATTATTACTACTTTTCTTTCATGCCTATAAATCTTCACAAAAAACAGAGTCTCTTTCCTCCCTAGCAAGAGACAAATTACAAGAGTGTGAAATTTAAAAGAAAAAATGAATACAAGGGGGTGACTTTCCAGTCACATGGGTTTCTATTTCCCTATTTGCGCAGCTTTCACTGTTGTCCATCCTGAATTCAGAAAGACAATGGGAGACCTGCTAATGTGTTTTATTTCTTTTCTCAGTATTTCTGGCTTCTTGTGCTCTCACGAGGTTTGGTCGGCATCGGTGAAGCAAGTTATTCCACTATTGCACCAACCATCATAGGAGACCTTTTCACCAAAAACACGAGGACCCTTATGCTCTCTGTTTTCTACTTTGCAATTCCTCTTGGCAGGTAAGTGACGTAATGCTTCTTTCATCTGGTTTTGGCTTTTCTCTTAAAGTAAGTTCACACAGATCTTAGTTGCTAATGATGATGGTTCTTCTGTCTTCGGTTGGAATGGTTTAAACAGGAAAATATTGTAAGCAGTGACTAATTAGTTGCAGGAATTGGATTCTTTTTCCAGGCCTGTTACTGGTTCATGTGTGACTTTCGGGAACTAGTGGGAAGTAGGTGGAAATGGAATCAAAATATTTTAGTTGTCTTTTTTTTAGCATTATGAGATTAACCTATCATTTTAAATAATGTTATACTGGTTCTCTGAATCATTGCTTTGATTCATTTGAGGTCTAGGCCTTCTATAGCCAAGGTCTTTCAGGTTACTGTGAAATCAAGATCTCTTAAGACACTGAGCTGAGTTTTCAAAAGTGAGTGAATGGGAACCTGCTTTTATGTGACAGTCTAAATATCAGAGGTTTCAAGAGGAGTATGCTATATAACATAAACAATTTGAAATTCTGACTTGAAAAAATATTTTTAGTTTAAACTCAATTTCTGCCCAACCTTGAATTTGGCCAGTCTGACTAAGTTTGGAAAATGCAGCTAAGCCAATCTTAGGTGACTTGGTAGTTGCAATAGCAGTGGCCGGTCCTTTTTAGTGCTATTGTCACTGAAACAGCAGTTAGGAGAAATTGTGAAGTCTAGTGTAGACAAGGCTGAAGAAGGAAACTGTAGTGATCGTTCACAGTCAGTCTTAATGCAGAGCAGTGGAGGACAGCAAGCCCATAGGTGCTTGATGAAAGCAACAGACAGACTCAGATTTGGAGTAGTTATTTCCTCTGGCACTTTCTTTCGGCTGAGTTCCCTTATCAGCCCAATGCAGTATCTGATTGTTGGGACAGGAGGGAATTGCTGATTTTTTTTTTTTTTTCCAATTTTATTTTTTTTAAATAATGGCTGATCCTCTATTGTGACATTGTATGCAGGGTCAGTTCACATAGTTCGCATACCGATTCCCAGAGTTGGACAACACCCTGTGCAAAAGTAGCATCATGTGTTCATTTCCAGTAGGGAAAACGTGCAGCAGTTTCACCCCTCCCAGCTCAGGGAAAAACTTCTAGTTTAGGGTGGTGCATTTTACAAATTAGAGCACTCATCCCTGAGATAAAACTCACAAACATCCATTTGCTCTTGAGGAAAAAGAGATAGTCAAGTCCTTAACTGGTGAAAAGAATATCTTCCCAAGAGGGCCAAGGATGCCAAGTATTTACATAGAGAATTCAGTGAACTATGGTGAGCAAGAAATGGCAAATATTCATCCTGTTGAGCCTGATTCTGGGACTTAATTCTTTCAATATCCAACAGAGGTTTGGATCCGTGGTTTGATTTTTGGGCCCGTCTCTGTAAAAAGCCCAGTTTTGGGGTGATTACAGATGGCAACCTCCAAAGCTTAGCAGTCTGTTCAATAAAGGCATGTGATGGCTGACACCTGCCCTGCAGCAGTCCTGGCAACGTTTAGCCAAGGCAGTCTCAGCAACAAATGCAGCAGTTTGGAAAAATGGGAAATTCACATCTATCCAGTTCACTTTGAGAGAAGCGTGGCTATGTTCACCTTTATCTAGTCTCTTGTGAGCCACCTTTTGTTACCACAGTGTAATTCTTAGCATGTAGCTGAAGGTCCTACTGCTCCTTTATCTTCAGAGAGGATTTCCAAGCTTCAGGTCTGATGTTCTCCCATCAGACTGTCTTGTGCATTCTTCTTGGGTTTTCTTATAAGCTTATGGAAAATGGTCTCTTCATGAGTAATTAGAACCACGTACAATTAAATGGCAAGAAAAAATTTAATGATAAAATACGATGTGTCTTTGAAGGGCACTTCTTAACTGAGAGCTTGAACATTAAGTTGTTAAGTATTCATATTACTGTACAGAAAGGCCTGATGTAGAAATTGAATTGGGAAATAAATTCTTTTTGAGTCTTTGTTTCCATCCACTGTAGGTTGAAAGGTCAGCTATAAACTTGAGATCAGTGTCTGAATTTCCATCGTATTTGAGCATTTTTGGATCAACAGTGCTGGGAAGAGTTACATATTAGCCACCATCAGCTTCATCCCCTGTGTTTTTTCCTGCAGGAGAAGAGAGCCTAGGACACACAATTGATTGTGACTTTTTTTAATCTTTGTTCAAGAATAGCTATGATCGTGGTACTCTGACTGTCATTGTATTCTTGCAGTGGCTTGGGGTACATCACTGGGTCAAGTGTGAAGCAGGTTGCTGGAGACTGGCACTGGGCGTTGCGGGTAAGCTACTCTTAATAACATCATAATAACAGTTACATCGGTTGATCAGTGTTAGGAAGAATTCTATCACACAATTCCTCAACCTGTTGTTATATATAGAAGGTAAAGGATTGGAAATTGCATTTGTGAATATTAAGTGCATAGCAGATGCATTCTCTAAGCAAATGGGAAAGGTATGTGGTTTTGGCTTGTTGTACTTGTTTTTTTGGGAGCAAGAATGTTCCAATCACTTTATTATCAGTCAACCATGATTTCTTGATGGGGATGGGAAGACGAGGCATTGGCCTTAAATCAACTCCACAGTCTTTCAGTCCCCTGCTGTCAAGAAACTCTGAGAATGGCTTCCTGCTTTGAGGAAAAAACACTTTGTTCCAGTTTCCGCTTGTTTTTCTGCCCTGAGACAGTTGGTTTCCTTCTATTTTAACCTCTTGGGACCTTGATAAATGTGTTGAAAAGATAATACACTCCAATTGCATAGGCACAAACAGATCCTGCACACAAAGATGTCTTGAAAGAGCTGAGAGGAAGTGGCCCAGCAGAACTGTTTTCTGACCTTTGGCAGTCTGGGTGGCATGAGCCCCCGTGAGGTGCATTCTCTGGCTCTGGCACTTCATGAAGACAATGAATCTCATGAAGCTCAGGCCAACACCATTTATAATGGCAGGTGATGAAATACATGGGTTCCCATCTCAAGCAAATGTGCCCTTCTGTGACACAGGCCATTCCCTCCCTGTCCAGCAAGGGTAAGCAAAGCCAGGAAAATCACCGTGAACAGTTCATCTGCAGCTAGGAGAATGGAGAGTAGTTTCCAGCTGTGAACCTGAAATGAAAAGTTTAATAGCCTTCAGCTTCACACCAAGAGGATGGCTACCTCTTTCAATAGCAGAAATGCTTTAAGGGTAAAATTAACTTTTTAGCAGAGGCCAGCACAAGGAATAAGAAACCCCAAAGCCCCTCCTCCTGGTCAGTGGGCTTTAATGAGGTTGATATGTTGAGCACTCTTGTGTTTCTATCTGTAAAACCGAAATGATTAATTTGTGCAAAGAAATCCTCACTAGCACCTTTCTCTTCAGATGATGTCTCCACAGTTATCCTGAGAAATCCAGGCTATCTGCAAGACTGTGCCACTTACAGTGGAAATCATGATGTCATAAATGACACATTGGTGCATGATTCCGTGACTGCAAAATTGTGGGGAATCTGACAAGCTGCACACTTCTGTGACGGTTGCTTTGGACAGCACTGCTTAGTTCTTGTAGTCAAAGAGCACATGTTGAAAGCTTCCAGACATCAGCGTAAAGCAGCCTCCCTCCCTGTGGCAATTATTGTGCTCTTGCAAGATGTACAAGATTCCCCTAGGTGATGCTTCCCTCTGTGATCTCCTGTGGTCTCCAAATCTGGAGGAGGTCAGGAATAATCTGTACTTCAGTGGGCTGAAGAAGACAGAAGGGCACTTTGGCAAGTGGCAGCCAGATCTCTGGATCTAGCAGTAATGTCAGTGTTTCATTGGAGCATTACTGAGTATCAATGGAGGTTGTCCTTTTGGGGGATTAAGCCTTTAGATAAAAATCAAAGAGACTTTAAATTATATGGCCCTAGAAAATCCCAGCAGTTGCAATTTTTTTTTTTTTACCAGTGCTGTGTCTTATTTTTAGCTGTAATAAAGGTACTGTATCAGGCTTCATTTATCCATGGATGAGGGATTTTCCTGACTTTCCAGTTCTGAAATGTTTTTGTTTTCCCTTCCCTAGAGGAATTCTGTGTTTGTCATCTTTGGACGTGAAACACTGCTCTATGTGTAAAGACCATTCTCAGGTTATTATTTGAAGCATATTTTTTTTGGAACAGGAATTTATTTTTAAAATTACATGTATAGAAGAGATGATAGTTCGGTGAAAATCTGTGTTCCTGTTTTCCTAACAGAGATATTTTCCATTCTGACAATGATGGAATTTCAGTGTTAAAATAGAATTATGTTTGTAGCTTGCAAAACACTGTGGGATCTTTCTATTTTGGTCTAGTGATTGGGAGAAAGGAGTGGAAACTGGAAAACCTAACCCTTGTATGTGTTGTTTTCCTGTCTTCCAGCCTGAATTTTTAATGTTTCTTGGTCTGCTGTACACTGAGGTAATCTGAGGAACCTGCCTGAAAATAGGAAGGCATTGTGGGTTAGCTGGAAGAGGGATGCATGTCAAGCAAGGATTTTCAAAGCCAGCATGCTCCCTACATCCAGAAATCTTGCACCTGGTCTCATTGCCTTTAAAAGGCTTCTGCCTTTCTCCCGGAAACTAGTTGGTGTCTTAGCCCAGCTGGGAGTAGGTTTCCAAAGAGTTAAACATTTCTGAAGGACTGTATTTAGATGAATCTTGGTACTTTAATAACACAAAGAAATGGACTGCCTTAATCAGAGTATTCTCAGAGCTGCATGCTTCCAGAGTGAGATAAGAGAGTCCAGGGAATGACAGGGAGGAAGGAAAGGAGCAGATGCCTCGGTGTGCTTACAGATTCTGGCTAGCTGTAAAGAATCAAGTCACTGAAACAAAACTAATGTAATCTGCTTCCTATGGACCAGTCAAAGCAAACGCTGCTGACTCCTGTGCTAATTCCCTGTTCCTTTCTTGCAGGTATCTCCACTCCTGGGAATGATAACAGGGACACTCATCTTGATATTTGTACCTGCTGCTAAAAGAGGAAATGTCGAACAACTCGGGGGACAGCTGAAGGCTCGGACCTCATGGCTAAGGGACATGAAAGCTCTGATTAGAAAGTAAGAGCACTCTAGTAAAAAGCATGCTTTGCCTCTAATGCTTAATTGGAACATGCAACAGCCTGTACTTCTTAGCACTGTGAGACTGGAAAGTGACAACATGCAGGGAGTTGCAGGAAGCTTAGTCTGTGGACCTAGGAAAGAAAATCACAGTTAGGTTTTCATGAGGTATCGACTGCAGTGACAATGACGGATTCCAACTTTTGCTCTAACTTTTCCAACATTGAGATCTAAGAGAGAGTCTGCTTTGTTTGGCTCATACTTCAGACAGATCAAGGCTTTTGAAGTGTAGAAATTACTGTGTTCCTGTATTAATTGTTGTGCCACTGTTGTTCAGATGCTTATATCCTTTTTCTTCCTTGAAAGAGCTACTCTGCTGAGGGGGAAAAGACAGTTAAATGCCAGAGCAATTTAAGAGGAGAAAATACACAAAAGCTTGGAAAGTTTAAATATATATGTTTATACAACCACATGTGACTGAATGCATGAGCACTGAATGTGCTTGGGTGCTTGTATATGTGCATAAAAGATCACATGCTCACAAGTGTTTAAGCAGCTGCCCTTGCTTCCAGAAAATTTGCCTGTGAATGTGCGAATACTTGCACTTGTGAATTCAATGTTACATCAGAATTCTGATGGGAAACTTGTGGTGTCCTTCATTTTTAGAACTGCTGGCTAGAATGCCTTCCTGGTATTGTCAGCCAGTATCAAAGGACTCTGAAAAGTGATGATGGTTAATTTATCAATATTTCTATATTACTTTTTTTGTTAGTTTATCCAAGTAGTAATCATATGGTGGCATGGATGGGGAGGGAGAAGTGAAACTGGTAACCCAGGTAAACAGGTGATATTACAATGAAAGCCCTGTAATTCACACATCATGTCTTAGTGACTAAGTACTGATGGTCTTCTGAAATGGTCCCATGAAAAATGGTCTCTTTGAAGCACCTTTGAAGAGTTAAGTACATTATTGTCAATGGAGCATCACATGTGAAGAAATACTCCATGCCTCTTATTCCCCATTGCTTTGTACCTTGTATTATCTCTGCCCTTTGGCAAAGGGAAGTTGCTAGTATGGGGGAACACTGTGTTTTGTCACTGAAGTGCTGTCTTCTGTCCTGGGGCTCCTGCTCTTTCACTTTTCCCACCAAACCTTCTCTTGGTTTTGTCTCTTGCGTCTCCACAGCCGCAGCTACGTGTTCTCATCATTGGCCACCTCAGCTGTCTCCTTTGCCACAGGGGCACTTGGCATGTGGATCCCTCTCTACCTTCACAGAGCACAGGTTGTGCAGAAGACAGCAGAGACCTGTGGCTCACAGCCCTGCAGCACCAAAGATAGGTGAGATTCACACTCCACTGCTTTAAAAAGGGGGGAGAAGGGAGTTGGGGCTTATTTACCAGAGGAAACGGGCAAGTCCCATGGAGTCAAGTTACTAGAATGTCTGTAATTTCCTCTAGGTCTTTGCAACAATGATAGGAAATGCTGGGATTGTAAACTAGGTTTTATTTCTCTTCTTTTCTTCATCGCATGAAGTCAAACCAAGGGAGAAGCAATGACCTCAGCTCTGTCTTAGTTCCCAGGCTATAGTGCAGAAGTAGAAAAGAGACTGCTGTCTTGCCTTAGAACATGTTTGGAGAGCTGAGAGAGAGTTTGGTTTCTTAACACCCACACTGTTTTCTGTGGTAGCGGCAGAATCAGCTGGCAGGTTGGGCAGCACAGTGGTGGCTCTAATTCAGGGTTCCCCTAAAGGCTGCAGGGACTGACCCTGAAGACTTTTGTTTCTGTGTGAGGGCAGACTTCACTGTGTTTCATTGCTCTGTACACTACCGTGTATGCTGAGTTTTGTTGAAAATGGTGCAGAGATCTGGGACACTTTGGTCTGGATTGCCTGATGTTATACGGTGGTTTGGGTTTTCAGTCCTAATTATATAATATCACTTGCAGCACATAAGCTATGAAAAGTAATTCATCGTTTTGTGCTTTACCATGATGGCACAAAACATAAAATGCTAAAAAAGCATTTCTCCAGGTAAATAAAAGATACAAAAACCCTGCCTTTTGTCAGCTCTTTTGCTTTTTAGCTTGGGAGGGAAAAATAACATTAAGAAAATCTTGCTCTAGCTGACACAATCCCATCTCAAGTAAACTACTTAGTGGTTTGGAGTACCATCAACTAGAGCACCCAGCAGGCAGTCTCAGTCTATTCTGCAAAAACACAGTGAGCAGAAATACAGCTCCAGTCAGACTGCCCATCTTCTGTTTACAAAGAGAAGTTTTCCACTTCTTGATGACACCTGTATTTTGAGCTGCCCTGGAGCTACTGTAATGTAGTTGCCAAAGACTCTGTAATCCAAGTCCTGCACATACAATACGAAGAATCCTTGACAGCTCCTGGCTCATTAAATTTAAATTAACACATTTCAAATGTGTAACATAACAGCAAAATAATCTAATCAGGCTTTTTTGAAGTGGTCTGAAAGGAGTTAGAAAGTCAAAGTATGTTGAAAGTCACTGGTATTTGGAGTCTTGTTAGGTTTCCTTCCCCTTAATCTTCCTTATGCCTGTTCTGTCCACAATTTCCCCTGACATGATCAATGTGCAGGTTATTACTTAGTTTTGTGCATACATAATTAGCTGTACAATGCACTTGATAGGAAGCTCAGTTCCACACAAAGAAGCATGAGCCCTTTGCACCTGTGTGCATGTTGATCAATGAATTTCATACGCTGTGTTTTTCTTAATTGCAGGGAGAGAGTGCTAAAATCCCAAGCACTCAGCAGGGGAACTCATTTGTTTTATTCTAAATTTGCAAAGCCAATGTGCAGATTTCCATTAGTCAGCTTACCCTAATAATTTGTTCAAAGACCATGTCCATTTTTGGGAAAAACTCCAAAAAAAACACCTGTCTCTCTTTTTTCTTTTTTCTTTTTCATAGCTTGATCTTTGGAGCAATCACATGCTTCACTGGTTTCCTGGGTGTAATCACAGGGGCTGGGGCAACCAAATGGTGCCGGTTAAAAACCCAGCGAGCCGATCCTCTTGTCTGTGCTGTTGGCATGCTAGGATCAGCCATCTTCATCTGTCTGATCTTCGTTGCTGCCAAGAGCAGCATTGTGGGAGCCTATGTAAGTATAATCCTTTGCATATGCCAGTCTCGCTCTTGCTCTCTCTACCAAACTCCTTAGAAGACTGTATGCATTGTCCCCTGCAGGAAGGCCGAGATGTTGGTCTTGCTTTTCTCCTTCTGAATGTCCTTCATTTTGCCCCTTGGCATTTTGGCACTATCTCAATTTGCCAGAAGGGAAAATTATCTCTCAGCTGCTTATCCCCTCTTGCTAACTGTTATTAGAATTTAGAGCTGGGGATTTAGCGCATGCGTGGCAACCCACAGTTCCCTGCCTTTGGGTTGTTCTATCTGTACTTCTGTCCATACCTCTATCGCTCTTGCGTAATGTTTTGGTACAGGAAAATCGGCCACTTCCCTTACAATAAGGGTATTGTGGTTGCAGTGGTACCAAATTATAATTACAGTATAATTTGTCTGTGGGTATGCTTTTGGCTATCTGTAAGTACCATTAATTTCCATAACTAGGTAGCTTGCTGCAGACCGATATTAATTACCATGTAATTTCAATTTGTTGTTATCTCTATTACTATAGCACCTGAAAGTCCCGGTCATAGCCCAGGAACCCACAAATACTTGATGCTGCACAAATGCAGATTAAAATATGGCCTCTCCCAGAATTTTTGTAATTGAAGTATGTAAAAAGGCATCAGACAGATCCAGACAAATAGACTGAAGGGAAAAGGAAAAACTCAAGTATAATAATCCAGCCTCAGGCTAGAATCTTGCTTTCAGCAGAGTAGAAATCCAGTACACTGAACAGGTCCCAGGTTCTCTTTCAATGTAATAGGGAGAAGCCTGGGACCTGGGAGAAGTTTCTGAAGGGAAAGTGTGAGATGGTTGGAGTAGTGGGATAATTTCTGAAAGCCCACCCTTAGCTTCCACACTGCAGTGCACACTCCACCCAGCAAGGAGAATTCATTTACAATTAACCAATCAACCAATCTACTGCGGTTCCTTGTTTGTCTATGTTTCTAGCACTAGCCTAGCCATGATTATTTTCTGAGTATTTCAATAGCTGCCATTGTTACGGGGAAACAAGGAGTGAAAGTTTAAAAACATTAAGATAGAACCAAGAATACCTACTCTGGCTGTTTAGAAAGTGTCAGAAGGATATTCAGTCCTCTGGTTTGTGGCATGGTCTAGAACTAACCTTTGATTCAGTGATCAGCAGAAAAATGATCGCCTCAGACAACCTAGGGTGTTACTGGCTGGCCAAGCGTTAACCCTCCTTTCATCATCAGCTGTCTCCGAGTGAAGAGATCTGTCACATCCCTCCGCCTGCCCCTCCCCTCCACTTCTTTGTGCAGCCAGCCCTATGATTTTCTCCTTTCTCAGACCTGATGACAGACATGTTCATTTGTGGTGTGTAGTCTCTTTATGCAGAAAGTCCTCCCTTTCTAAGCTGGAAATACTGTTTTCAAAAATTTTGCAACAAAAGCTGGCTATTGGTCTCATTTTCATCTTTTTTCTTAGTGGTTTTTTTTTTTTTTAAATAGCCATGTGGCTTCTGCATTGTGTAAATATATAAATAGAGATGGTATTATTTAACCAATCTTAGAAACAATTTATTTTATTATGCATGAGCACTAAATCTAATAAAGAGTAAACGATTTGCAAAGGAAGTTACATCTGCATATGGAAGGGATATGGAGAATATAAGCCTATTTGCTGATGCTGTTAGGCTGATGCATACATTTGTTGCAGGTAACACTGCCTCTCTGTAGCCCTAAATATGCTTTCTCTGCTGCTGGAAAACCGATGCAGAGAAAGCAAATGAGAGTCTAGTTATTGTGCCAACTGCGGAGTCAGTGGTCTGAACTCTCTTCTGACAGTGGGCAAGTTATTTAACTTTGTTTTGCCTCTGCAAAAATGATGATTTTTAACTTACAAAGGGTCAGGGTAGCTTAGATCATGAATGTAAATCAACTAGAGTTAGAAGATCTATGGCCAAGTCATCCACTATAAATTAATATAAACAGAAAACAATGACACAACACCTGCTGCCTTTGCTGCTTAGTGTTACAGGTGCTAACTCCACTGAGAGAACAGGTCTATGTTGGAACTACCAATGTCTCATAACACAAGGTATTATCGTGGTGAAGCTATGTATCAGTTGAATTGACTTATCAAGGCAAGTTTCAAACATGAGCCCTTGTTTTTCCATGCCAGTCAATGCTATTGCAATCTTACAGACTTCCAGAGTGTTTAATTCCCTTGTATTTCCCTAGGAGACCTGTCTTGCAAGGTTGCATGGTGTAGCACTTTCTCATTACTGTCTGTTTTAAGTCTCATTGGTCCAAAATGAAGGAGAGACTGTTCTCTAACTCTGTAGTTGGAATACCTAGATATGGTGGACAGCGTGATGGTTACCTTCCTCATCTCGGAATCCATGATAATAGCTTGTTCTGGAAAGACTACAGTAAAATTTATGGGTGGACTTTCTCATCTCTGATAGCTTCCTTGACAGCTCTTGTCCTGAAACAGCATCCTTGAGTTCTGTATGTCTGTGAAAGGCAAGAGCAATGTTCTGGTGTGTTCCCCAACATGGTGGTATTTCCAGACCTTCTGTACTGTGACTGTCCTTAGACTTCTGTCATTGATCACACCATGCTAAAATTGAAGGGTTACTGGTTTTGGACCCCTCATTGGGTCAGATCCTTAAAATTATCACTTCCAAGCATTTGGTTGTGTCTCCATGAGATGGTGTTCTCTCACACTGAGTTGTGGTGGCCACCAGATCACCATCTCTCTCCCTGCTCTAGTTAACAGTCAAGAGTTTTTAATTTCAGCTGATACTGGCATCAGCACAGATGAAGTGTTCAGCACTCCAGCAAGAATCAGCAGAGCCCTTGCTTTTTAGTTTCTGGGCTTTTTGGGTTTTGGGTTTTTTTGGAAAAGACCTCTATATCCTTTGGCATGATCATCTTGTCCCTCACAGGCTGTCAACTCTCTCCTCTCTTCCTTCCCTAAACAAGTGTGCTTTTTCTCCCTTGCTCAGTCCTGTCTGGGCAGGGGAGGACCCTGAGGGCAGCTGCTATTCCAGTTCTGTAGCAGCCACTCTTACCTGGAGCAGGTAGACAGACTTCTTTTTTCCATCCAATCTTTTCATACTAATCCAGTAAATTACTGGCAGTGGTAGAAGTGGCTGGAAAGGTGGAATAAAACAGCATTCTATATCACTTAGCTGCCCAGACACTTGTATTTCTGTCTTTTCTTATCTTGCTTGGCTGTATAGTCCAATCAGTTCATTATCTGTGTTTCTTGCAGCGTGTGGATTTGTGTGTTGTAGTCCAGCTCTTTAAAACGGCAATTTGCATATCTTTCGGTCCCACTCTTTCTGAAATACGTACTCTTTGAAATGTTGGTTTTCAAACCTGTCTCTTGAAACCCATTAGCTGTATGGCATCATTGTATCACACTACTCAGACATTTCAATAGCAGATTTTAGACTAGTTTAAATTTCCAAATGACTGGAGAGAGATGCTTTGCTTTGCCTTCCTTTTGACACTGTTCCAAGTTCCTGTTGTACCTCAATTTCAACATCTATTTCAATTCCTCAAAGACATTTTGTGATCTTGCAGAAACAGCAACTCCCAGGGTAAAACATTGCCACAGAGCTTTTACAGCATCTCAGGCTCAACTCCAGGGACTTTTGTTCACATGTGTTGGTGACTTACCTACTTCTGAGTCATCGATATTGCCCAACACTGAGATGGAGTTAGACTTGCTTCAAATTCAAGAATACATGTGGGAGTCTTACCCCCCATTTCAAAGAGAAATACACATAATGAAGATGTAGACAGATACGCACTTTGCAAATAGCCATGGAAGGAGTTTATAACCTGCTTAGATTGCTGTGAGAGCTGCTGGTGTGACCACTCTGAAACTACGTACCATTTTGGGGAATCAGAATTTGCGAACTGATCACATAAACAGAAGACTTGAGAGGAACATAACTTCTATCAGCTCATCACAGATCAGCAACTGGACACCAAATGGAGATGGTGAGATATTATACAACACAGCTGGATTCAGAAGAAGATGCATCTGTAGAGCTGAAGTCTTGGTGTAAAATGAGGCTTCAAAAAGTGTGTGAGGAGTCAAAACCGTGACCATTTCAGGAACTATTGATCTGTTCTGGAGGCTGCCCTATTTGCAGTAAGCGTCCCTAGAGTCTCTCTCCAGCAGAAATACCACATATCCTCATATGCCCTTTGCAGTAGATGAACTCATTTTCATAAATCCCCATTAGCAGCTGAAGGACAGACTTTTTTTAATGTCAGTATCTTTTGTCCTACTTTTTGATCTTCCTCTTGTTCTTCTTTTCCTTTTATCAGTATCCACATATTAAGCATGTGTTTCATGGAAACATGTTGGGTGAGATGCATATTCAACAATTCAAAACTGGTGCACTCCGAAGTTTGTAGCATTTCAGTGATTTATTTATAGGACTTGTGCTGAATTCTTGCAGAAGGGTCAAGTTTTACTTGCTGCATGTAATAATTCATGTGTGTTATGTGTAATTTCTATAACCTTAAGGCAAGCAGTTGCCTGTTTGCAATATTGTATGAACAGGCAGGGCACGTCAATGCTGCATTCAGAAGTCTGATTGCATCTTTCCCAAGCTCAATTTAATATATTCAGCCACAGAACCCCAGCAACAGCAGCTGCAAAGCTGTAGTAGGACAGATTTCAGAGCAGGTCCTGAGAGCCCACCTGGGGCTCTGGTATGCCCTTGCTACATGACACATGGCTTCAACTCCCATCAGCACCTTGATGCACTGGATCTGTGTTTCTTAGCTTGGCAGTTGTCATTTCCAGTGAGAGCCAAGTTCAAGGCAGGCCAGCGGACAGTGGGAAAATGGAAAGAGGAGATTTCCTAGCTGACCAGCTGGGGTGTAGTGACTGTCTCGGACACCATCACAGAGGAAGTAGATCCAGTCACAAAAAGAGGGAATAGGGAAGGGGAATGTGTGGGAAACAAAGACAATTATAGAAACAAATAGAGGAAGTTTTCTGCAGGTCAATGCGTAAGACTTGCTAAATAAAGCAGAGTGTTCCTGGCAGTGACATGATGGTCTGAGGGGTTTAGGCAATCTCAACCGGTGTGTGGGAAAGACAACTGTGGTGGTCGCATCAGAGCCATAGCTGCCAATCTTGGAGGTCCTCCTCCCACCCCAAACTGAGCCTGTGCAAGTGGCAGGGATTAGGACAGTGACTGTGATTGTCAGCGCATCAAAGCTCACACACCACAAAACAACATCCATCTGAATGTTTCCTCAGAGCAAAGTGTACTGTGTATTTCTTGACAGCTTTGTTTCATTAATGAATTGTAGTCTATTCTATATAACAAAAACTGAGTATAAAGCAATTGAAAGGGGAATCTTCAATACCTGAATCCAAATGTCCATAGCTGTTATCTCCAACTACCAATAGGGATTTCAGGAGTAATATTTTCTCCCTAGATGCCACAGAAAGAAGTGGGTTAGCTGGGCAGAAAGCAACCTTCTGGGGGACATCTAGTAAAGGAGTTTTGCTTGCCTTCTTGCTGGTGGGGAACAGGGGAGCTGGTTTTTACAAGTCTGGTTATTTACATAGCACTTTGTCTATGTGTTCTGCTCTTCATAATACACAAAGGGAGAGGAAAATGTGTGCATGGAAGATTTTCCATCCTTGTTTTTTCATCCTGTTGAACCTACATTTCTTTGTTGAATTGTTAACCTACAGCATAAAAGCAAAAGTTTCATGATTGAAATATGGGTAAAAAGCTTTTTGATGAAGGCAGTGTTCCTCCTGAAGTCATGTCACCTTTGCTCCATTGGACTCAGTTCAATGAACATTTCTTTTAACAAAGAGGCTAGGTTAAATTAGTTTCTCCTCTTGATCATTTCCAGTTCTTCAACTGCTGTAAGTGTTTGTAGAACCATTTAGTGGACTGCATCAGGGAACTGATTTGGGTTAAAAATAAGAAAAATAAGCAAAACAAGCCCCTCTTCCCTTACCTCCCCCCAATAAAACATTCTTTGCTCCATCTCGGTTTCCTGATCTGAATCTTTGCTTGGCTCTGTTGTACCAGCACAACTGAGAAGGCAATATGGGATGGGAGTAAGTGAGGAGGGAGTGCCAGAGGTGGAAGGAATATGTGGTGGCTGTTTATACCACACCAACACAAAAAGAAGCTCACCTCCTGCTACATACACAGGGCTTCTAATGTGTCTTGTTGACCAACTCCACAGAGTCAAGTTATATTTCACCATAAGATACTGATGTTGCAAACCCCATACTTAAGTCCTGTCCTGACTGTATGTAGATATTACCAATGTAATGCTTAAGTTCTTATAGTGCCTAGACCTATGTCCCCCCAAAAAAGGATAGCCATATGCTAGCAGGGGAGGGAAGGGATCTTGCACATAGTGGGTAGAGAACCTCATTTGGTTTGCTACAGAGCTTAACACATAACTTGATTCCTAGTGATGAAAATGACTGTGTTTTGAGGAGTTGTGGCCTTCTTGTCTTTTCTAACTGGCTTTTTGGAACAGAATGATTTAAGTATGGAAGCTCAGGGCTGTCTCTTCTTGCTGGCTTCTCATATTCTTCTGTTACCAAGTGTGTCAGCCTTTTATTTAGCTACTCTGTAGATCATAAACAGTTTACACTAGTGAAGTTGCAGGCCAACCCTCTAGAGCTCTGATAAAAATCTATAGTTTTCTAATACTCAGGATAAACCACAACAGTAACCAGGAGTGTATTGTGTACAGAAGAATCCTTTGAGCACGTTTGAGACAAATAAGCAACAAAGGAAAGTTTGTGACAGGTTATTTTTCCCTTGAATGTCAAGTGAATAAATCTTCTCCTTTTTGTGTGTTTTGTTACAACAGATTTGCATTTTTATCGGAGAAACTCTTCTGTTTTCAAACTGGGCTATCACAGCAGACATACTAATGGTGAGTGTATTTTGGAACAGCATCTTTCTCTTCTGGTGGCCAGAGCAGTTTGTCAGCTTGCAAGAACAACCTGAAGTTCACAGCTTCTTCCAAATGCCTAGCCCTTACTTCAGCCTATTCTTTTTTTTTTTTTTTTTTTTAACTTGATGAAAAGGAAAGTGAGATAGAGAGAGAAAGAAAAAAAAGATTATTCTTGTCCTTTGTTCTGAGCACCAGGGAGAGGAAATGTCCAGAAGGGACACCATTACTGAATTCAGAGTTTCCCCAAATTTTAAGTATTTGCGCAAACCCCCATATGCAAAGAAATCAGCCAGCATTTCCTAATAGTCAGCACATTAGTGGATTTTGTTATCAATAACTCAGCTTTGTTCTGCAATAGGAAATCCTTCCCTCCCTCCCTCCTCTGACCACAAAGGCAGCCGTCTACCTCTCTCTTTGGCTTAACTCCAGCAAACCTACCATTCAACACATACACAATAGAAAACCACCTCTGGGAGAGGAGAGAGGAAAAGAAAGTATAAAGAATTTTTGGACTATGTCCACCTTGTCCAGGAGGAAACTGTCAGGGACTTTTCACCTCATGTCCTTCATTTTCCATTCTTTCTCCACCACAGAGCTTTTTAAGTCTTTCAAATCAGCAAGCTGACCTCAGCAGCTAGATTTTCATATGAAATAGTCTGGGCGTTTGTTAGAGAGCCTTGCATGTTTTGTAGATGCTTCCATCAGAGACGCACAGAGCCTATCAAACATACTGTATGTTGAAATCCCATTGTGAAGGAGGTTATTGCTTGTTGCTTATTGTATGAAAAAGAAAGAGACTAGGGCACAGAACCATTACAGGACTTGCCCGAGGTCTTTTGGCAGGTTGTTGACAGAACTAAAAATATAATCAGTCTGGCATCAAAAGAAAACTCCCTTGACTTGTATTTGTTGCTTATGCAAACACCAATGAGAAGACAATCTGGCTCAGTATTCCTAGATATAAAGATAATGGTGTTGATATATTGATTCAGCAAAGAACTTCAAACTTCTGCTTAAGTTCTGTTTATGATTTAAATTCAAGGTTGTGTTAATATTTGAAGGTAGCTCTGTAGTTGCCATAACTGTGTTGCCTGATGAACTTTCAGTCTTTAACTCATTTGTGCAGAGAACGCTTTGGGAGGTGGGGTGGGGTGGCTAATTCCACTTCTCTCAGATGTGAATAAAGCATGGAGAAACAAAGGTTATCAGTGTACTTCAGTAGCGTTAGATAGCTTCTAATTACCAAGGTTGGTTCCTCCTACTAGTTTAACTTTAGTCTGAGAGAGCTCTGCATGGGCTGAACGGGTGTTTACTCTGTACTTATATGGGTTTTGCAGCTTGTGCTGAGTTCAAGGCTGCTGTGGCCATTCATTAAGTGGTATCTCAACACTTGGACAGACGTGCAGTCTACAGACAACTGTGTTAAGGAAGAAATTGTAGTACAGTATTTGTAGTTGCTTATTACTGCCTCCTGCCAGAGCTTCCTGTTGCATCCTGCCTTTGGCTGTGATGTTCCCAGGGAGCGCTCCCAACTCTCTCTGGTCAGAATTAGCTGATGGGCTTAAATAGCACATCTTTTATATCCTCACTAGCATTGGCTGAAACAAGTAAGGGCTTGGCCATGGAGCCGATCTGCTGTCCTCCAGCAGTGACTCTCAAAGAGCAGCTGAGGTAGTCATCTCTGCTGCCAACATAGCGCAGCTGGAGGGAGGGTACCTGTCGGACATGTTCAAGGCCCTCCAGAAAATCTGTGCCAGAGAGAGAGCTGAAACGTGACCTACGTTGTCTCAAGCTAACCCCAAAAGACATTCAACCAACTACTTCGTTATATCAAGTGTACTAAAGATGCCATCATTGTCCCATTTTAATTACTGAGATTTTTTGTGTTGATTTCAATGTGACTTCAGAATCCTGTAGCTTTTTAATAGCTTCTGTAGGGTTTGCCGTCTGTCTTACCAGCATCGTATAGTCAGTTGCATTTTGTAGGGATGCATTTGCAGTTATTTATGTTGCTTTAGTGCAAAAGAACTCCATAAAAATGATTGGAAATAATTGGAAATAATTTCTTGGTTCCAATTTCCAAAACATGGGAAAGAAACTAAAACCATGTTAAAAATTGGATTTTGGTAATTCATGCCAACTCTTAAGCTAGCTGTTCTCTTGTCTGTTTAGAAGAATGAACGGAGTGTCATATATGATGTCCAGCTTAATGCATTATCAGCACAAGTAGACCTGCAGAAGTGCTATACAAATAAATGTAAACATCCACTTAGATCAATGCAGGCCTGTAAACAGATGGTCTGAAGTGCATTCATGTTACACAAGGGGTTTGAGAGGATGTTTAGTCAGACAAAAGGTGAGAGCCAGGGCTATAACCATGTTTGACAGACAGCTTTATAAGAATTCCTAGCCAAGAGAAAGGTGTGGATATGCTTTAGCGAGATGCACTTTAAATGTTTCACAAATTAATTTCTACTGATTACTATTTATTTGGTGTAATCAGAAGTGTGTCAGTTCTTGCCTGCAGCTGGTAAGGAGCTTAAAAGCATTATTAGCCTAAGCTTAACAACACATTCATCGTATACATAAATATTATCCTGTTTTCATGGATAAAAAGCTCTCAATACTGGCTGAACACTGTTCCCACTTTCTTCATTATGCCAGAAGTGAGGCTTTTTGGAAACTGCATCCCAAATGATTTATCATAGCTCTCCCAAGATTTACAGATCTCATGACTGCTTAAGAACCCTATCGGGCAAGTTGGTAAGCATCTTCAGAGGTTTTGCAAGTTTAACTTCCTTGGCAAAACAAGGATGTTTGCTTACTATCTTCAAATTTAATTGTTGGCTCTTCACAGCATCGTGCTTCCATTGCATCTACCGTTCTTGCCAGTGTAACAGTCGGTGTGCAGCACCTCAAATTGTCTGCAGTAAAAGGTGCTGAGTGCTAGGTTTGATAAACTGTCAGCACTGCAGAATGTACTGCACTGCTTGAGATTTTAAAAGGCTGGTATTTGTTCCAAATGCAAATTTGTACAAAACATGCCTTATTCTCCTGAGCACCACTCTCCAAATCTCCTCCCAGGCACATGCTCAGATAGTGCTTAGGGAAGGGGGGGATGTTTCTTATGGACTATGGTAATTATGAAACAGATTTTATCAGCCATCTTTGCAAATTGGCCTCAAAATTACCAGAACCCCAAAGTAGCATTAAAACTGCCTTGTAACAGCAATAATGAATGAGCTTCAGTGCAGCAGGCAAATGTGTAACATTCTGAGACACACTGAGTGCTTGGGACTTTGTCGAATCTGATCCTAATATTGGGGTTTTTCCTCTACAGCACATCTCAAAAATAAAGATGATGGACAGAGGCTTGGTGGCATTTCTGTGTAAGAGCCAGCTGGCAATTTGAAGGGCCTCAGCTATTGCGATCAGAATCTCTTTAGGTCTTTGCTGAGAAAAGCCATCCTCCAGTTTATGCAAAGTCCTGACGCTCATGCAAAAAAATACTCTGCATATTTATTTTTTCTTTTAAAACATTAGTTCTTTTTAAATGGTCATAAGCTGCCACGGAGGAGCCGCTTTGATGTTTTGCTGTAGCGTCAAAGTCTTCCTTTAGGCTTGAAACTGGCATAGGCTGGTGCTCAGCTGTGCCACAGGCATGGAGGAATGTTGCTTTTGTTCTGATTGTCTTCCCTATAAATAAAACCCAATTATTTATGTAGTATAAAATATTGCCCTCTTTTTACAGCTGAAGATAAATAGCATTTCCAGAAGTTCTCATGGTTGCTTCTCTTAGTGTGCCTCAACGCATCAGTAATGTGAGTGCTGTGGTTTAGATGTAAGGCAGGATGAGGAGTGCCTTTGAATGAAGGTACACAGCCCACTTCAAACACTTGAGCGCAGCTCTGACCAGGAAGGACGTGCCAAGGGGCGTCTCTGCAGTTCTTCTGTGGGCCAAGGGTTGCAGATGGCTATGTACTGCTCCATGTTGTGCTGTGATTTGGAGACCAGCCTCCTTCTACTTCATTTAGAAGTATTTTTTCAGACAGTGTCTGCCTAGCTTGAGCAAAGGGTCTCTCTCAGGCTGGTTTCTCTGGATCACAGCCTTTGCCTTTTCTGAACAGTAGTTACAACAGGGACACCTGGGCTGCTTCCAGGCTCTGTCCATGAGTAGAATGGGGTTAGCATGTGTTTCCTTGCCTTTGGTGCTGGAAGAGGTCGGTGTGCATTGTCCTGAAGATTACTGTCTAACCCAGAGAGGATAACAAAGTGTTTTAGAGAGTAGAGATTTCTATCAAAGAAACATCAGAACTTACCTCTTTGGCACGTGGCCTTTTGCTGGGAGAAGGGTGATCTCTCCTTGGCTTTCCTGGTTAGCTTATTTCAGACCGACTCATTCTGTTGGTTTCACTACAGGAAGGGGATGTCAGCAGTAAACCACGGCCTTTCTGAACCTCTATTTAAAGAGCAGAGGTTTGCCAAAGCTGCTTGGTCAGCCTCCCTGCCCATCCTCTGTGCTGCCTGCCTCTGAACCTGGAGTCAGAGATGAGCCAGGACAATCCCACGGACTTCCGCCTCAGCTGCTGTGGCTCTTCCACCTCCAGTTTCTGTGGGATGTTCAAACCAGGCCATGGATGGTTTGAATTTAGGTCTATTTTAGTATCAAAATGCCCATTTAGAGCTGTAATTTACTGCTGTCTTCCTAGAACAGTAGATAATGTTTGCTACCAACTACTTCCTGTCCATCAGAATAAAATGCCTTTTAAGTAGGGATAGGGTGGAGTATTTTTTGGTGTTTTGGAGATGCTGGTTTAAGCCTTTTTTTCTTTCCAGTATCTTTTTAGAGGAAGAGGAAAAATCTCATGTTTGTTTGCTTGCCACATGTTGAGTTTTTTGTTTGGGGGGTGTGTGTGGGGTGTGTTTGTCTTTTGAATTCCAGACTAAATTTACTAAGTTTTGGCACTTCATAGTGCCAAACCATATTGATGGTTTCAACCATCAATAACTCATTTAGCTAGGCAAACTGAAAACTTGCTGGAAATTGTATTGCTACTCACAAAACTGTATGTATGCATAATACAGATATACATGCAAAATTATGTCTAATATGTGTGTGTGTATTCATGTGTATAAATATATATGTGCACACACACATTTGATGTAGGTATCATTCAAATTTCTTTCTCCAGTTGGCACCAATTCACTGCCACTCCCTGAAAATGGTAAGTTTTTTAATAAATTTGCCATTTTGCTGAGAAAATGGATAGACCTTAGAGCCAGGCAGGCTTTCTTCTCCAGATTTGTTAACATAAACATTATAGAAAGAGTAATATATTAATGTAAGTTTAAAATTCCCTGTTTCACAGATATACACAACTCTGGACTCTTGAATTAGGTAGAATTTCACTTTATCTTCTCAGATGCCCTTTTTCAAACAGCTCTTGCAGAATGCTTCTCCATTGCACCTGTGTGAACTGGGGCCAGGTGGGAAGAGTAACAATAACTCTCTTCTCTCTTTTTTTTTTTTTCTTCTTCTTCTGTCTAATCTATCCAGGTTGCACCCATTGCCCTGCATCTTTGGGGAATGGTAATGAATCGTGTGGCTCTCCTACTGTTTCACAGTGTGACCTTCAGTACGTTTCTGTCTCTCTAATAAAGTCTAGACCTTATTTTCCTCTTGGGATTTCTGTGAGCCTTCAAGTCTGTTTTGAACTCCAGGATGCAAAAGGAGGACAGTGTCTAACATCCGCAGCCAGGTGGCTGCTGTGGATCTGATCATCTTTTGCTCTTCTGTTGCACGACAGGAATTTAACAGGGTACCCATTTAATATGTGCATTAGCAGTGTGCATTTGCAGCTTTGTCAAACCAGTAATGAAAGAACTGGCAGGTCATTTTGAAAGCACATGGTAAAACCCTAAGGAAAAGCATTAAATCTAATTTTACCCATCATTCATAATTGTCTCTGCTTGGAATGAGATGATCATTCTACATAGGCATCAGTTCTCTTCTAGCATGGATTTTCTCAGTGCTGTTTCTTTTCTTTCCTTTTTTTACGGCTAACTCTTTCCACTGCAGACAGGGCAACTCACCTTCCTTAAGAGGAAGTGTTAAAGCACTGAAACAGTGCATCAGATCCTGTGTCCTGAAATATGCTGCTGTTGAGCAGCGAGTTCTCCTTACTTCAGTCAGCTAAGGTAAATTGATCTCTGTGTATCTCTAGCTGGGGATATGCCAGTCCTGAAATGTCACATTTAATTAATAAATGACTTCAGGAAAGGATTGCAAGAATGAGTTGAAATCTGGGAAGGCACGGCTTCTGAAGAAAGACTAAAGGCAGCCCATCAGAGAGAAAGTGGACAAGTAAAAGGGATCATGGTCTACAAATAGCTAAACAAGAAGGTCATTTCTGGCAGGACAGCTCTTCAGAGCAACAGAAAAAGGCAGAACAAGATTCAGTGATTAGAAGTGGAAACAAAACTCACTTGGATTTAGAGACCTATTGAATTCTTCATTACTTTCAGCCGACCTATTGAATTCTTCATTACTTTCAGCCTTCAAATCAAGACAGAATCAATTTATAACCTGGGATATGTGGACTTGATGCAGATGTTCTTAGCCAGCTTCTTTCACAAGTTTTATGCAGGAGACAATTACTTTTTTCTGCTCCTAAATGTGTGTTGTAAAATTCAGGTCATTCCACAGGACAGGGGTTTGTTGGGGTTTTTTTTCTTTCTTTTTTTTTAATCTTTCATCCCCTTCCATGGTTAGGGCTCTCTTTTCTGGGAGGTCTGGTCCCTTAATGGGGAAGTAATCTGTGTTTTCTGTTGATCCTCTGTACTTCTGCAGGACTTGGTTGAGGGTGTCGTGTCCTATTGGAGGAGTGGAGACCCAACTACAATATCTTGGCTATGGAAAATTGTCCTAATGTGTCCTTCTCACTTTTCACAAGTAGAATAGCAAATTTTTGAGAAAAATACAAAGTGGCTAGAGATGGACTGGGAGGGGAGGATGTATGACCTTTTGTGCTGATGTGAATTGCTTATGGTTTAGGAAACAAAATGATATCTTTATTATGGAAGAAGCACTATATCCCAGGTTACAGCAAAGTCCTCATTTGGAAGGCTGGCAGTGCTGAGCAAGTTACGTGCTGCAGGCAACCTCGAACTTCACTCTCCCCATCAGCCAAGCAAAATACAGGCTGAGGAGCAATAGTAAAGTGTCTCACGGGCAAAGTTGTTAGTCAAACTCATGCATTCAGGGCTGCTGAGAGGAGTGCAGACTGGACAGAGCTTCCTTCCCTGAACACCTGCCATCAGGAGGACTTGAAAGGCAGGAGGGGTAGCTGAGCTCCCCAGTTGCTTCAGCCACCCGTGGACTGGGCAGTGGCTGTGCCTGCCACTGACATCTGGGGAAGCTTGTTTACTTTATCCTGACCTGGGTATAAACTGAGCAATACGAGACAGCTGGACAGGTTCTTACTTCAGTTTCCTTATGTATTTTTTATTTCTTTCCCCTTCTTTGCAGTATGTGGTCATTCCAACACGCCGTGCAACCGCAGTGGCCTTGCAGAGTTTCACTTCACACCTCCTGGGAGATGCTGGCAGTCCTTATCTGATTGGATTTGTAAGTGCTCACAGCAGGTTTTGGCAGGGTTGTGTGCCCATGTTTGTTTTTACTAACTGCTTATCTAAAATGCCAAGTTAAACCGTGCTAGGGAAGGAAGGCCTGTATTTATCAGCAGAACGGGAAGCGGTGCAGTGCAATGCAACTTTTTTACATGCTTATGTTATCGGTGGGCTACAATTCAAACCTGGAAGGACCACTTCGGCATGAGAAGTGACCTCCTAAAACGTTTTAGCCTAGGGCATTTGTAAAGCTTATAGACAGCTCTGTAAAGGGAGAGCAGTTGCTTCTGTGGTGTGGACATAGGTCTCTCAGAAATTAGATTGGAAGAGTCATGTGTGTGTGTGTGTTTGTGTTTAACTGTTAATCTGGTCTCATAAACCAAGTATCTATTGATGGGTGGCAACATGCAGCTCCTCTGACCTGCTGATATTTTGAACCTGTTTTGTATGTATGATAATAAATGATGGTGTAAAATCCATGGCACAATGGGCATGTATGTTTTGGGGTTTTTATTAGTATTCCTTTCTGGTGTGTATGCTTTGGGTTTTTATTAGTAGTATTCCCTTCTATTACTGTGGCAGTTGCTGGCCTTGGTCTGACTGGTGATCTCCCTTATTATGCCACCATTATCCTAGTGCAGAGCAAAACAAAAGACCCTGCTCCAAAAGCTGGCAATCAGAGAATATTCACAGTCAAAAATATAAGGCCTGGGAAATGTAATGAGGAAAAGAAATGTAGATATCCTGGAGTAATTCCTTTCCCTTGCACCCTTCTGTGGAGTTGATGCACTGAGTTTCAGAGAACACAGATTGTCCTTTATAAAATATAGTAGCTTCCATGTAAAGCCCTAAGTAGCACTGCCTATGTTGTGTTGAAGGTGCTACAATTTTCCAGTGATGTAACTGGGATCTTCACTAGTCTCATCACCTGAGAGACAGAACTTTGATGTGCTTGTCCAGCTCAGTACTGCTGTGTGACACAGCTGCTGGGTGCTGTGGACCTTTTTCTTTTTAAAAATGTCATTTCTCATCTATTCATCCCATAGACACTGGTGTGTGTTATCTATACATATTTATTTATATATA